GAGTCAAACACTAACCCACATGATTCACTTATGAAGGGATTTCTCTCTCGACAAGGCATCAATGAATTATAGAAATCCATTCAGTCTTTCAATGATGAAGATAAATATAATATTACACCTATTTACATGGTTTTCATTGAGTAATAAAACAAAATGTAATTGATTTCATCCTCATTTTTCCATACAATCTTACATTTTAAGCTTCCATCTATTATTTCAAAGTTGTTATTATTAAAAAAAAAAAAAATCAAAAATTAGGTTTAACTCATTGCTTTGACTCAAAGCATACCAAATTCATCTTTGATGTGCATCTTTGAATTTTTTTGAAAGGAAAGGAAAGAAGTTTTTGAAACCTATTTTTGTTTGGATGAAAGTTAAAAGTAGGTATTTAGAATTTGAATTTCCAACTATTTATTTTAATTAGAATGTTTAGTAGGCGTGTGCAAAACCATCGACCAAACTGATGAAACGATTCACAGTTCATTTCAGTCAAATTTTATCAGGTTAATCAGTTTGAACTGAAGTTACTATTGGTTCAAGTCAGTTTTATAGAATTTAATTGGCTAAAATTAAAATAGAAATGATATATGATAAATACCGATCAAAATTGATCAAATTAACCGACCGATTCAAATCGAGTCGATTCAGATACCAACTTTTACTTTTATCTTTCATCTTGATCCGATTCAGTTTCAACCATACTAACCGTTTGCTTAATTACCCTTATTGTTTGGGAATTGGAGTGGGATTTTAAAATTGGATTAAGTTGAAATTGTTTCCTGGAGTTTTTTTATCATAAGGCACTAGCTGGAATAAAGTTTCACCTCCATCTTTCTTTTTTCTTTTTTTTTTTTTTATATCCCATTTTTTTAATAATAATAATAATGAAAAGAAAAATAGAATATTTTAAACTTGTATTTTAATTTGTGGATGTGAGTTTATCTTGATGACAAAAAAAAAAAAAAAAAAAAAAAACTAAATAATAAAAATTTTAATTGTCTTGCAGAATAGTAAACATTGCTGAAAATAATTTTATAAGGTTGAAACATCTTATAAAAACAAATGATTTGACATAAAAATAAGGTTGTTGGTCAAGTGGACTTTTTGTTCTACACTCTGCATCATTTCAAGAAATAGAAACAATCAAATGAAACATCAACATTTGAAACATAAGAGCAAGATTTTTCTAGACAATTCAAACAAAATAAACTTTAAAATTGTCTAATAAATTAATAAACAAAAATTTAAAAACAGAAAAATTTTGATCCTTATAAAAGAGATATGGTTCATTCATACAGGTTCTGTATGGATAATAAATAATTTTCAACAGGGCAATGATAATGTGGTTGATTTCAGTGGAACTGAATACCCATCACCTGCTTTACCTTTTTGTTCTACAAATTGCCTGCCAACAAGGCCCATGGCCTCAGTGGAGCCTACCTGGCCTCATAACTGCTAACAATTATATGATTCCTCTAGGATTGTGTTTTTTACTTTGGGTAATTTTTTTTTCTTTTTTTACTAATGCAATCTTAAAATAATCCAGTAGCTGAAGCAGACTTATAAAATTATAATTTCAAATATAAATTACATTAAAACCTAAACCTAATGTTGGGAAGGAGGATAAAACTCATAACATTTTCCTCTCCTTAGCCATTCAGGTTCAGGGTGATTGGCTCTTTGGTTAAAATTACTAGTCAAGTAAAATTTTTTTTCATAAATTACCGTCAAGTTTTATCATCATACGCATTCTAACTATACTTATTAGTAATCGATCAATATTTGGCAACGAATTGGGGGATTTTTTTTCCTAGTGTCCAAATCTTAATCTTGAAGTCAGTTCAGGAATGATGAATAATATTTTACTTTAATTTTAATTGCGACTATACATGATGGGCCAGGCTCAGATATTTGAACCTAAGCCCAAATTCGGCCCAGTTGATTGTTCAAGTTTATAATTCATAATGCTTTAGATACACAATCTAACTATACTTATCAAAATAAATGACTTGTGTTAAACTTTTTCAAATTAATAATAAATTTAAATTGTTTGCACTACAAAAATCATCCAAATCCTAATATTATCATTCTAAAAAGCTTCTATTCATAAGAATGGGATTATACTAAATTATTCTAAAAATAATGAACAATGAAATAAGTTTTTTTTTTATTATTTCTTTATTAATTTTCCTTATTATTTTTTTTATATTTGCATAAGATATCAAGGTCCGTGTCCGTTTTTAACAGTTTACAAACTTGATTAATCTCAAATTGTCTTCAGAGGCAAATTGATTGGTTTGGGAGAATTTACATTACGGAAAATCAAATCCATAACATAAAGTGATTAACCCCGCAAATGTTTTTTTGTACAATTAATTATCCTCCAACCTACTTTAAAAAAAAAAAAAATTATCCTCCAACCATATATTCCTTGCAAGTAATAAATTGAAGCAGCAGCCAATCAAAGAAAAACGGCAGTGATCGATTTCTTGCAATTAATTATATGACCAAAATGGTTTTAAATTGTAAATACATGTGATCTATACTTTGATCCTAATAATTTTATTGGGACAAAGATCTTGGGAAGATATTCTACACTCGAAACTACTATCTACATAATAAAAATATGTTATTTTCCTCTTTTGTCCTTTCTAAGTGTGTTTTGAGCCAACCTTAAGCTGGCTATTTGTGACCATCAACCATAAAACACACAAAATTTAAAACACAATTAAAAATTTTAGGCTATGTTGAGTGAATTATGAAATGTTATTCCCTCTAATGTTTTTTATAAAATCTTAGTAAAATAAGATAAAACGCTAGGAAAATAACTAATTTTACTGAACAATTCTTAAAAGAAGCAAAAAAAATTCTCATTAGAATAGCAAATTATTTATTGAACGTCAATCTTACAAATCATTTAGATAATTTTATTCAATATAAAAATCTGGCTAATTTATAATTTATTTCGCTGTTTGCTAATAAAAAGAAAAAAGAAAAACACTATTTATTTTTATAAGTAATTATCAAAAGAAATGATATTTAAGTTGTTGATATTATTATTCCCACTCCAATCAAATACTACTCAAGAATTCAATTGATCCAAGCAACATAGAAGAGAAAGAATAAAAGAAGACGGTTGGTAGAGTGTCAAATGAGACCCACTTAGCCTTTTAAAGTTTAAACTAACGAACACAAAAGGAGACAAACAACAAGACTACCTTAAATTCAAATACTTGCAAATAAAAGAGACAACAAGTAGCATCTTCTCTTCTTAATTCTCGCAAACCCTTCTTTTTTATATTTCTTTCCACTTTTCTTCTATTTTTTAAATATATTTCTTGTTCTCGCCATTCTTAATCAATTTTAAAAAATTTCTCCGAAACTTATATTTTTTCTACTATTATTCAAATCATTCACATCTCTACCGTTTATCTTTATTAGGATTCGACAATTGTATATAGGAATTCGCTGCATAAGCATGTAATGGAAACATTACAATATAATATCTATACTTTATAAAATACAACTAATCGGTATATGTATTTTTTAAAATATATTAATTTTTCTTATGTTTTACCTTCATTATACTTTTAGGTTTTTTCTATCTAGTTTTTATATTTTTTTCGTCAAGTTAATAGAAAAATAAATGTAAAAGAAGAAATATTAAAATTTTAATATTAAAAAAACTTACAATATGATCATGCGATTTGAGAAATACCACCAACAGCGTTTGTTAAGGTATTTAGCCAAAAAAAAATACAAAAATTAGGAGTGACCCATTAATATGATGCAATTTTTCCTCTTGTAATTTACTTTAATGGTAAAACAAAAATTATCTAATTGCAAACTATTAATTTGGGTTATACATATATACATATATTATATTTATATGATATATAAAATTTCCTAGTAGAATAAATTAACTTAATTATTATACTATTAAATATACTCGTTCCGTACCAAAAAAATAATTCATCATTACTTTTTGGTTTGTTTCAAAATATAGTCCACTTTTCTTTTTTGCATTATAATTAATTATTAAATTGTTTACCATACCCTTATTAAATTTTATCTTATTTTCATTAATCATCATTAATTCTTATTTATTATTTCAATATAATAATTGCTCAGGTATTATTTAAAATGGGCATAATAGAAAAGTTATATAAATTAAATTGTTCTTTAATTATAATAATTGTTATTTTTTAATCTGCATGAAAATAGAAAGTAATTTTTTTTTTTTTTTGGAAAAGAGAAAATATCGAATAAGCTTATTGCTACACTATTAATATATAATGTTTTCATGTAGATACAATTAATAATAGCATCTGCCTAACACCTGTCGGGTTGGTTGATATAATTGATTTTCTTAAAAAAATTTGAGATTTATTTATTAATTCGAAAGTTTACACTTGATATAAATATTGTTTTGTACTATAAATCTAAATTGGGTCTGTTTGCTAAATATTATGGTAACGCAATTGATAAAAATTTTACCTTTTCAATATTATCAATTAGATATCTAGAGGTTAAACTATAGTAAAATTAATAGAATTTGTGAACTAACCATAAACTTAGCAGGAGTAAGTATAAATTAGTAAGGGAAAATATATTTAAAATGAAATTTATAAATTTTTGAAATAAAATAAATTTTATAATATGATTTGATTATTAATTAAAATTTTATTTACGAATATATTTTTCAAATTCATAGACTAGTTAAGTAAATTTCATATAAAACGTCGTTACTTTGACATTATAAGCTTCTGATCTTCATTTAGGACCTAATTTAAATGAAAAACAAGCAATCAAAAAATAAATAAAATATACAGAAAATGAGGGGCTTTATTGAAAACTTAAAATTTAATATTATACTCATTTGTTCTGAAAAAACTATTAATTAATTAATTATTTATGCTTATTCTGGACCTCGTTAAAAACTTAAAATAAAGATTTGGAAATGCTAATTCCAAACAATTAAACAAATCCTCTCTCTCTCTCTCTCTCTCTCTCTCTCTGTCTACACTGTAGTATGAAGCCATAACCCATCCTCTCTGTTGCTACCCACCACACCACCGTGGCACCGTCCCGTTCCGACCTCGAATAGCCGACAAAAGTCACAGAACCAAAGACGACGATAAATTTATAATTGTTTAAAAAATTAAATAAATAATAAAATATAATACTAAAAAATATCAAAAGACGAACTCTTTCGCAAAAGCCACCGTACTCACCTCACTAATATCACAGCATTACCCTTTTTTCATTCTCTCTCTCTCTCTCTATCTCTACAATTAGGGGTAGGGCCTCTGGTTTCGCTTGTAGAATGTGAAAGTGAAACTCAACCTTCGTTCTCTACAAGATCCGTACTGAATCGGAGCTTTTTGTTACTAAATAGCTTTTGTTAATGGGGAATTGCTGTAGATCTCCGGCCGCCGTTGCTAGAGAAGATGTGAAATCCAACTTCTCTAGTCATGATCATAGCAAGAAAGATGCTGCAGCTGCTAAGAAGGCGCCGATTACTGTTCTTACTGGTGTTCCTAAAGAGAATATTGAAGAGAAGTATCTTGTCGATCGGGAGCTTGGCCGTGGTGAGTTTGGGGTTACTTATCTTTGTATTGATAGGGATAGTAGAGAGTTACTGGCTTGTAAGAGTATCTCGAAGCGGAAACTGAGAACTGCTGTGGATATTGAAGATGTGAGACGCGAAGTGGCGATAATGAAGCATTTGCCGAGGAATTCTAGCATTGTGAGCTTGAAGGAAGCTTGTGAGGACGACAATGCGGTGCATTTGGTGATGGAGTTGTGTGAAGGAGGTGAGTTGTTTGATAGGATTGTGGCTAGAGGGCATTATACGGAGAGAGCAGCTGCGGCAGTCACACGGACGATTGTGGAGGTTGTGCAGCTCTGCCACAAGCACGGAGTGATTCATAGAGATTTGAAGCCGGAGAATTTTCTGTTTGCAAATAAGAAGGAGAATTCGCCTTTGAAGGCCATTGATTTTGGCTTGTCTATTTTTTTCAAGCCAGGTGAGAACTCCAATTTTAAGGTTTTAGTTTTGGATAGTATCGGGGGATGATATGTTTAATATTAGAATTGCTGAGTCTGGTACTAGAAAAGGAGGATAAGTAATGTGTTTACCTCCAACTCTCCTTTTTGTGGATAAATGGATAAATTTCCATTTTCAACTTTACTTTTTGACCTGGAAAATTTTTATGAGCAATATACTGAGATCTGTGAGCAATCGTGGATAATTAAATTGGGTTAAGATGGCTGTGCGGTAGATGAACGGTAACTAAAAATAAAGATTGTGTTATTAGTTGACGTTACAAGTATACAGAAGTAAGATACTGAAGTTATTTGATTTTAACGAAATTGCCTCGTTAAGTTATTGGAGTAAAAGAAAACCGATACATTATATATCCTTTGCAATGCCAAGAAAATGCTACCTTTTATTCTATTCAGAATATTGGGTTCGTAGGTATGTTGGTGTAGAACCTCATAGACATGTCAAATTAGCTTTTTGATGAATTGAATTGCAAAATTATATGCGAAGATAGAAGAAAAATCATCAAGAAAAAACAAATCCAGCTTCCATGCCGCAGCATTTTGAATATTGGTTGACTAGTTCTTACATAAAAAGGATAGTGTGAGTGCACTCTGAAGACTCAATGGACGTTAACATTAAAGTGCCCCAAAGCACTTAAACTCTGAATTGACCTACTCCATTACAATAGGCATAGATGTATGAATCTGCAGTTCCTTCAAAGATGTGAAATATAATTACTGTTAGATTGCAATTCTTTTTGACACCAGGTCTGGTTAGAGTGTTTGAGGCATATTATTGAAATTTCCCATGAACAACCAGATTAATTATTCTGTGTGAGATGAGAGCAGGTTGCCACTATGGAGCCTAAAGTTCAAATGTTACGAAATACAATGTTAAAGTTATTCAGGATATGGAGCTCATTTTGCATAGCTCATAAATGATTTCATGTCGGAAATCATGTAAAAAAAAATTACCACATCCTTGTGGAAATGAAGGCTTATTTCTCTCAGTTCCGGGTAGAACCTTTTCCTTGTCCTAATTAGTTTTGGAAAAATGTTTCATGTGAAAGAAACAGGACTCCGAGAATTCAGTTGTAATGTCAGTAAGTTATGAAGCATTGATCATGTGGTCTAAGTCATTGATAATTTTTCATTGATTATGGTTGTTTGTATGAATATTCACAATGTTATTCTGATCAAGCCTACTGTCTTCTGAATATTGTAGGTGAGAGGTTCTCTGAAATTGTTGGTAGTCCATATTACATGGCTCCAGAGGTGCTCAAGCGAAATTATGGACCAGAAATTGACATATGGAGCGCAGGGGTCATTCTCTACATTTTGTTGTGTGGAGTTCCCCCATTCTGGGCCGGTAATTATATCCTTCATGCCTTTTTTTTGTTGTGTGTGTGTGTGTGTGTGTGTGTGTGTGTGTGTGTGTGTATTGGGCAAAGAAGGGTGCTGGCATGTCTACCTGCAACATTTGTTCTCTAAAAAATTCTTTTTCGCTCTTATGTCATTGTATTTCCTGCCACTCTTCCTTTTTGTTTTGTACTTATTATGTATTTTGTGAGTTTTTTCTCGAAACTTAAGTTGCTTTCAATTTAGCTAAGCTGCATTTTAATTACAGAGTCAGAGCAAGGGGTTGCACAGGCCATTCTTCGTGGGATTATAGACTTCAAGCGGGATCCATGGCCAAACATTTCTGAGAGTGCTAAGAGTCTAGTCAAGCAAATGTTGGAGCCAGATCCAAAGCTTCGACTAACTGCAAAGCAAGTGCTAGGTACTTGCATCTGTTTGATGTTGCTTTGATATCATCTTTTAATATGAACAAGTTGCATGTTAGAAAATTGGGAATCGTCCTTTTCTTTTGCTGCTACATTTTTCTTTCAGGGTACTTATTGATAGGTAGGTGGTTTTTGATTGGATATATTCTGTCTTTGGGTATTGTCTCAAGACTTGCCTTTTTGGTATATTTTTTAGTCTGATTGAGATACTGCCATGTGATTGTGAATTTGCAATAAAAGATAAATTACATATCTGAACTCTTGTAAGTATCCTGTTAAATGTTTTTAGTTTCTAACCCATTAACCCAGCATATTAGTCGTACAAGGCTGATTCTAGTGAGTACTCTTTCTGTTTTTTGGAGAATCTAGTCTGTGATAAATGTTGTATATATTGAACTGCTTTATTATCTTGCTTTTTCTTTTTTTAACAATTGGTGAAACATGTTTTCATAATATTATTCTTTGAAGTGGAGAGAAGTCAGCATTTTTTGGATAGCAGCTTTGCTGCACGCACAGAGTTTGAGAGTTTAGCAGTTAGCAATATTCAGAATCAGATATCTTTCAGATGTCAGTATTTCATTTTTGTCAATTTTTCTGATATCCTCCTATCATGATGGAAGTTACTGAAGAATACTTTTTGGTCTCGTATGTGGAAAAGTTTTTTACTTAAATTCTCATGAAAAACATGCAATGCACATTCTGAATATGATACGGATAATTCAAAGTGATTGAAGATACGGGCCGATCAAAGTGCTGAACTTTCACAAAATTTCAGTTTTATTCCACTCTTAATAATTGCTGCTGACAATTGCATCGAAGGGTATAACTCATGTCACTAGTTGTGTATCTAGTTTGGCTGACACTAAATTGGCTTGCTAGCATAGCTATGGCTAAGTTGTCTAAGTAGGATTTTAACTATTTGGTCAGAGACAGCTCGAATCTGCGTAACCCCTTAACAGGCTACAAGTTTTGCAATTTGAGAAGACAAAAAAGAGAGAGAAAAAGAGAGGGGGGAAAAAAGAGAAAGAGAAAAAGAGAGGGGGGGGGGGGGGGGGGGTGGGGGGGGGGGAGGGGGGGGGGGAAAGAGAGAGAGAACAGGGGGGGGGGGGGGGAAGAGAGAGAGAGAGGATTGAATTGGTTTCAAGAGCTTCAGGTGGGATACTTGAAATCCTATTTATCTTGTTCATCCAGTTACTAACCAATTTAGTGTCAACTGAATATAGAAACGTGTGACATGATTTTAAATCCTATCCCCGATTAAAATGCATAAATTAAAAGAATGGCATAAGTTTAAATCTTCGGTGCAAATTTTAGGATTTATGTGATTACCAACCCACTTTTTAATTTTTTATCATTTTCTTCATAGAACCTTCTTTTCCTTTGTCCCTTTTTTTTCAACAAAACAAATTTGTATAAAAAATTCTTATATAATGGGGACTCGAGATTCAAGCTACGTTAATCTTCTAGTTTTTTCCTCTTATTTTTCAGTATTAAAGTGACCAATAAAAACAGTTCTCTACTAAGTGTTTTCTTGGGCTTTCCCTCTAGTTTTTCTGTTTCCCTTCGTCCTTTACATGGAGGACATTTTATCCTCATTTTATTTCATCTTCCTTTTTCTTGATAAATTTCACCTTCTATCTAAAGAAAAGTGTTATATGTTCTTTTTGTTAAAAGTAGAAAGATTACATGTATTATAGAGAACATTTTCTTGTATTACTAGCCATAGGAATGCTATATAGTTGATTAATTTGTAAACACTCAATAGATCTAATTTTATTAGGAGGAAATAAGCCTAAAGATGTCTAGACTCTGGGTTGTCCTTGATGACAAGGCTCCCAGTTTGCAATCCTCCACTTGCTATTTTGCAGAGAGACTGTTTTATGATTTGAAACAAGACCTTTCAATTTCAAAGATCAAAATAACCTTACTGTTTTGCTAAGAGTCGTGCCCATATGATAGATACTAGAGACAACAACAAACAACAACTACGGCTTAGTCCCAAACTAGTTGGAGTTCGCTATATGAAACTTTTATTTTCAATATGCTCTGATGGGTAAGTGACATTACAGAGTTGCTCTACAAATTTGCTAATATTATGGTTTTAGAATTGTGGGCATGATTTGGTATATAGATTGGGAAATGCTAATGTTTCAGTTAGATGGTGTAGTCTTTCAACATCTATCAAATACAAGTGATCTTAAAAGACGGAATCTCTTGGAAAAATAGAAGTCCTCCTAGGTTTACTTATTTGTGCTGCAAACCTAACTAGTGTACTGACTAAGCTTGCACCTCGTCATAGGATTTTTGTTCACTTCATTGGACATAGATAATGGCTATATATGAAAGATTTAGAGTACTTATTAACATCATTCTAAGGGAAACATGATGAGGCTCAGTGGATGAAGGAAGATAGTTTGTTACATGGGTAGGGCTAAATTGTTAAAATTGCTGCTTGGGCCAACCTTGAGGTGTAGATGTCTAGATTTATGGACATTAAATTGCCTTCTGACAGGGCAGTCAGAGATTAGATGGAGGCCTGTAACAGTATTTTGGGTCCACAATGAATGTGTATTATAGAGATATGGAGTTGTGGACTATTTATGGAGGATCTAGGATGTGACCTTGTGAGACACCTTTTTAAATGAATGGTAATGAAACCTAATGGCTTAAGGAGAGAAGTCTCTCATTTAATACATTAGTGAGGTCAGATTATACTTCTGTATAAGCTAAATGATATACCCCAGACCTATACGTGTTTCAAGCAACTATGTCACGAGTTTTTAGAATATAAACGAAACATAGGTGAATGCTTAAGTTTCATTAAGCTTACTGGTTTTAAACATAACTACTGATAACATAGGTTCCACAGGTGGTGCGGTGCATAATTATTAGTTATGCTATCCAGGCTTGTATTTTGGAGCTTAGTCAAACTCCTTGCTAATTTATTTCCGAGGTGAATTTTCAACTTTTCACCCTGTGAAATGAAAATTATAGCAAATGTCAAGTTTGCCATACAAACCGTAACACTAGGCTCGGTCTTTTGAAGTTCTCTGTATGTCATGAATTTGGTTATTTTTGAATGATAAATGCTAATTATGTTCATTACTCCATCTGCAGAGCACCCGTGGCTCCAAAATGCTAAAAAGGCTCCAAATGTTCCTCTTGGTGATGTTGTCAAGTCAAGACTAAAGCAATTTTCAATGATGAACAGATTCAAAAGAAAAGCCCTTAGGGTTTGTTTTTCAACCAAAAACTACATCTCTTCATTTCCGTGTTATATTTATGTTCAGAAATGAATCAGTTGGCTCTTTCATGTAGGTTATTGCTGATTTCTTGTCCATTGAAGAAGTTGAAGATATCAAAGAGATGTTCAGGAAGATGGACACTGACAATGATGGTATTGTTTCAATTGAAGAATTGAAAGCTGGACTCCGGAATTTTAACTCGCAGCTTGCAGAATCTGAAGTTCAAATGCTTATTGAATCTGTGAGTAGATTTGCTTTATGCTTTCACTATAATCAACAATACAAGGATAGTTGCAACAAGTACATCTTAAGTTTTTGTTGGACCATTTGTGATGTTTATGCAAGTAACTGAGAGCTACACCTTAGGCATTGGACATTGACAATTTAAACATGATGTGAGCACCAAAAGCTTGACTATCTAACCAGTTAAATTCTTTCTTGGTCGGTAGCCCTAGAAACAATTCATCTACCAGTCTTTCCTTGCAGATATCCCTCCCCAAAATGCTCTATTCAACTCTACAAGTTAACCCAATGGCTTAAGAAATTATATCAAGAATGTTGCAGCTGAAATCTCATAGCTTTAAATGTGCTTGAATAGATGCTCTTTGTTAATTTTTTGTCACGTCTAAGGAACAAGAATCCATGTGGCAATAGCTGTTTTTTATTTTTATTTTTTTTCACAAAACAATCAATCTTCAATAGCATCAGTAAAAATGAAAAACAATATAAATTGCTCTGTTGCCCTTCTCAACCTGTCTGAATTCTTTTTGCATTTATGTAAAGATTGCTTAGTGCTATCTTCTTGTAAATCATCACATAGGGAACTCTCAAAAGTGAGAATTGTATGTAACCACTTCCACCCTTTTAGTCCACTTCTAGACTTCCTTAATGTCATTGCTTCACCTGATGGGCCTTTGTATTTTTCCTCCTGGATGATAATATATCTGTTTGACACTCTTCCCATGTAAACTTGCTTTACTTTCACTTGTTCATTTGCCACACCTCACCCAACCTCTCTGTCTCTCCGCATATAACAGCAATAAGATGGTACTATGTGCCCGTTTTAAGATTTTTCTAGAGATTCGATTAGGATGCAGCAGAGTTCTGTCAACTCACCAATGTGCTTGTAAGCTTTGTGGTTAGGTATGGATAAGTTCCAAGAGAGAGAGAGGGGGGCTGGGAAGGAAGTGGTTTATTGTTATTATTATTTTCTATTTCTGGAGTGGGGAGGAAATTAATGTTCTTTTGTGGAGAAGAAAAATACAACAACCAAGCTTTAATTTTGAATTAGTTGGAGTCGGCTACATGAATCCTTTGTTTCAAATATCCGCTCCAATCGGATTAACATCAATGCAAAGCAAAATACAAGTCAGAAAAAGATTTTGAAATACTTTCTGAAAAAATATTTTTGAAGGGAAAAGAAAAATAGGGTAGAAAATAAAGAAGTTGCTGTCTCATGGGTTTTTTTGTTATTCGGCTAACAGTGGCTGTAAATATTTGATGTTTACATTAAAATACTCTTTGGTCCCCAATATTTTAAAGTTAGCAAGTCTAATTGCTACACCCACATGCAAAACTTTAAGCTGCTGAAGTTTCTTAACTGAACCAAACCGATAAAACTGAAAATGAATTACATTTTTAAAACCAAACTGGTTCGTTCCTTCTTAGCAAAATCGGCTTTTTTTTTTTCTACAACTGAACAAAAATTGGTAACTAAAGTTGCTGCAAATCATAAATTGAAACGAATTGGTTAGCCCAAATAATTGAATTGAAAAACCAAATTAGATTGGTTCGATTTTTCAGTTTTAGCCAATGTGTTCTCACCTCTAAGCAAACCAAAGGGACAACAATTGTTAATTTAGGGACAGTAAGGATCAGACTCTATATTATGTGAGACCATAATTTTAAACATTCATGTCAAAACTGAAATCTGACTGGGGTTGCAAATGATTCAAGCTAGTTATGAGCTACTTGGAGCTTGGCTCAATAAAGCTCCCTTGAGCTCGTTTAATAGATGACTAAAGCCTGAGCTAAGCAAAATTTAGGTCATGTAGGCTTGATAGTTGATAGCAGCTAGTTTTATAAGATAATGAGCTAGCTGGCATATAATTTAATTTGAAGTATATGATGGATATTTTTGCTTATAATTTTATGCATAAATAATATACAGGTCAAAAATGATTTGTTAAAAAAATAATTTAAAGTTTGCATATTTATTATAAAAAATTTTAAGTAATAGTTGATTTTTTTCCATATATATTTTAATTTTTGGATAATGTGTAAATTATTAAATTTATTATGAAAATCTATCTAATACTGTCTAAATTATTAAATTTATTACGTAAATCAATCTAAAATTAATTTTGAGCTTAATTAATCTCATTTAGACTCGTGAATTTTACATAACCCTGATGATAATCGGTTTGGCTCATTTGTTAATGGACTGAGCCTGAGCTAGTCCAAGCTTGGCTCATATTTGTGTTTGCCTTGAAAGATAATAATAAAATATCTATATTCTTTAGGAGCCTGATGATTTTGGGCTCGCCCAGCTCACCCAGCTCAGCTTATTTGATGAGCCAACAGCTAGCCAAAGCTCGGCTCATTTACATGCCTAATTTATCTAGTGTATAAATTTGTGGTTAAGCCTAAATATAATTACAGTGACAAATGTGTTCACTTGTCTGTGCATTTGTCTTGTCTTGGAAGGTAATAATAAAATATCTTTTATCATTTCAGTGTCAGTTTCTTTTGGTTTTGAATAGTCAAATTGTTTCACAACAGGTAGATACTAATGGTAAAGGTATGATAGACTCTGGGGAATTCATTGCTATATCCCTTCATCTACAAAGGATGGCCAATGATGAGCATATTCACAAGGCATTTTCCTATTTTGACAAGGATGGCAATGGTTATATAGAACCAGATGAGCTTCGAGATGCCTTGATGGAAGATGGTGCAGATGATTGTACAGATGTAGCAAATGACATCTTCCATGAAGTGGATACAGACAAGGTGAAGTTTCCATAGCATACACGGGCTTTTGATTCAGCCAGATTGAAATCTGACATTATTCTTGTTTGAATGCATGCAGGACGGAAAAATCAGCTACGACGAATTTGTTGCTATGATGAAAACTGGAACAGATTGGAGAAAGGCGTCTCGTCATTACTCTAGAGGGAGATTTAACAGTCTAAGCATGAAGTTAATGAAGGATGGTTCGCTAAACTTGGGGAGTGAGTAAACGCCTAAACACGAGCTCGCAATCATTAATTTATCCATGAAAAGAAAGTATTAAGCCGTCAATGTCCATCTTAGACTTGCTTTCTTCTGTGATTATTTGATGGGGTTCTTGATTATGTGGGATCCCTTTGGCGTGAGAGCTTACGTCATTCTGGAGGCTGATAACATCTTGTCTCTCTCTCTCTCTCTCTCACTTTCTCTAAATGTTGATTTATGTAAAAATAGTGTCTTTGTAGCCTTTTGTGAGATGATTGTTTCCAGTTGACAATGTGAGTTTTTGAACTCCATAGGAGGGCTGTAGTATATTCTCGTCAAAGAAAGAAGTAATGCCATATTGCTCCATTTTGTGCTGCAAATTCGACGCTCTCATCCTCAACCAACGCACACTTCTCAGTAAATAAATGAATGAACAAAACTCTGAATCAAAATAGAGTAGATGTTTTACCTGAACAAGTCTTGCTTCCATAGCTTGTACATGGGTTGGGTCTAACTTGTTATTGGGTTCGCTACTAGCACATCTGCAACATTTGTTTTCTTTTTTTCTTTTTCGCTCAACTCTTCAGTGCTTAAATTATTATTATTATTATTATTTTTTTCAATTTCAGGATGTGATATTTTAAGTAACTGAATTGATGTATGTTTTTTAGGTGATTAAATATGTAAAAGAATGAATTAAATAAACTTAATCGAAAGATGACTATTTGTCGTTTTAGCATGTATCGAATTATTTTAATTGAAAAATCCATTTGTCCTTTATGTGACACTGCAGAAATTTAGAATCTATAGTACCAAAATAATATATATTATTTTTCTTTATCTTAAAATAATGAAATAAAGTTCAAATTATTAAGTTTAAGATGAAGTAAAAGATTGCAACTCCTCTTGGCCATATATTTTAAGGAAGCTACGTTGTCTACTATTCAATCGGTTGCGGAATTAATAATAAAAAGAAAAAGTGATGGGACACACAAGTCGATTACAGGTTGGCCAGTTGCTGTTATGTAACTTCATTTTCTTTCTTTCTTTCACCTCAACTCAATTATCCGTGTTCAAATCCTTGGCAACAGTACAGGTCTGTGTTCTCTCTCTCCAACATCAATTATTACCTTCCGATGTCGGCCTCTCAACGATTTCCACTTCCATGTGGGAACTGCTCACGTACTTCCTTACGTTGTCTCAAAGCTATATATTCGCACCAAAAATAATTTTTTCCAATATGACGTGATAACTCAGCTTTGAAACACATTATGTGTTAATTTTTTTTTTTTTAAAATACAAAAATCCTGAAATGCAAATCTTTTGTATGTTTTAGTTTAGGATAATACTCATGAATTTATAAGAAATGCTTAGAATTATGTTTATTAGAGTTATAAGGATCATTTTTCTATAATTTTTATTAAAAATAGGAAAAATTATGATTTTGTATATGTGTTTTGCCATGATATACAACATTGCCTTTTGCAAAATATTCAATAAATACAATGACATTTTACCTAATTTTGACAAAATACATGGATGAAATAGTAATATATTGACAGAAAAAAGTACAAAAAGATATAATAACACAACGGAGACAAAAATAGAGACGATGGATTAGCATTTTCACATCATTTTATCATTATTTTGAACAATTATATATATGTATATATATATATAAATATGTCATTGTTGTGTTTGGCGTGTGTGCTCACGTGATGACGGATTAGCATTTTCTAAAATTAGGGATGATTTCCCAAATTCCATTTCATTAAAGCCACTTAATTTTGAAGGAAGAGGAGCATTTTTTGTCATTTGATTGATTGAATTGAAAGGAAGGCCTTTCCCTCTTTCACTCTCATTGCACTAATTTTTGAGTTCGTCTTATTAGGCGCCGCTATTAGGCCTTTTCCTCTTTTATTACTCGATTAGTTTCGGTTTAAATTTTAGACAATTTTGAGTTCGGTTGCCCATTTGACAATATAAAATAAATTATTTTCGCTTAAAATCGATTAGAATTAACTGAACAACTATAATCGAACCAAACTAAATGGTTCATTTCGATTTCAAACAAAATTTAAGTGTATTTTCAGTTTAAAGAGAAGACAAATTCAGTTTTATGGTTCGATTTCATTCATAATCTAACCGCCCTGTTTGCACACCGCAGCCAACGTGAGCCCCGCTTTTAGAGTAGTCCGACAACAAGTTGAATCTTACAGGACTCACGACCACATATTTTCACTTTAGAATAGTTATTCTAGCAAAAATATCCTAATATATTTTGATATTAACTCCTTGTTTAGAATAAATAAACTCCACAAAATTATATGGATTTACTTATAAATTAAAATTATTATATTTAAAATGGAAAAAAAAAATTAAAATTTTATGATTTTTTTTAACTGTCTGGTGTCCAAAAGCTTATTAGCCGGATAGTTTCATAAAAGAGAAACAGAACAAATTCGAACTCGAGACCTCTAGTTAAAAGAAGAAAAAATCTCTGTCATTCCATCTCACCCATCAAGGGTAATTTTATGAATTTAATTATATGAAATGGAATAAAACTAAGCCAAATGCTACTAAAATGAGTGAAAATTTTATTAGATTTTTCAAATAAATTTCATAAAATTATTAATAATTCTAAAATTTTATGATAAAAATTCATTCTCTTAACCTTAAAAAATTATTATGCTAAAGGTATTTTAGGAAAATAAAAACAAGTAAATGTCATATTCATAATTTATTCCAAATACGATTAGGTGGAACCCAATTGATCTAATTATATATTTTAAGTTTAACATATCATAGATGAAAAATTCAATTAGAAACATTCATTCTTATTTTGAGTTAAAATTTGAATTAGTATGATATAAATTTTGACCTTCAATCAAAATATATACTTTAGCCCATGTGAAATTAATTAATTAATTAATTACTTACCAATTGAGACTTTTTTTTTGGTGATTTCCACTTTGATTAAACTTGTATTAGTAAATAGTAAAGTAATCTCCTTGTTCTCATTGTATGGAAGATATGGTCAAAAGGGCAAAAAATGATTCTTTCCATGGTGGGAAGGTCAATGTCTCATTGTTCATATGCTAATTGAAAACAAGCAAGCCATTTTGTGGGGTAAAAGAAAAAGAAAAGTAAAAAAAAAAAAAAAAAAAAAAAAAAAAAAATTTAAGTAGATAATAAATTTTTGACCTTTCAATCAAATATATACTTTAGCCCAATGTTGAATTAAATTAATTAATTAATTGACTACCGGAATTGAGACTTTTTTTTGGTGATTTCCACTTTGATTAAACTTGTATTAGTAAATAGTAAAGTAATCTTCCTGTTCCTCAATTGTAAATGGAAGATCATGGTCAAAGGGCAAAAATGATTCTTGGTCCATGGTGGGAAGGTCATTGTCTCACTTGTCTCATCCATGCTAATTGAGAAAACAGCAAGCCATTTTGTGGGGTAAAGAAAAAAGAAAAGTAAAGAAAAAAAAAAAAAAAAAAAAAAAAAAAAAAAAAAAAAAAAAAAAAAAAAAAAATCCCAATGGGTTTGGTCGGTGGGGCATCAACATGAAATTTCAGCACGCAAATGGAACATGACTAGATTTATATTGATTTTATTTCTTTTTTTTTTTAATTAAATCTTGTGAAATTTGATTTTATAACCTTATGATATGTTTGATAAGTTATAATTAAATAAAAGGTAATGTAATTAAAAAAATTTTTAGTGTAAATTTATATTAAAAGTGCATTTGATAATATTACATTATATTATGACATTATTAAATATAGCCTTATGGTTTTAGAAATTATTTCAAGAATAGCCTTAATAATTTCTTCAATAATATAATTAATCTTTTATATGTTATTTTAATTTTCCTACTATGCCATAATTAAAATGTAATTGACTAAAATGTAATTAATCTTTTATATGTTATTCAGTTTCCTGCAAATTGACTAAAATGTAATTTACATTTATATTTTTGAACAATCAATTCTGTTGAGAAATATTAATGTTACGGTAAATATGAGAATACAAATTCAATCTTAAAAGCGAAACGTGTAATGGAGTGGGACAACTAAAAATTTCTGCGTTGAGGGTGCGAAAGATATTAAACTTCTAGCTATACTTTTTTTTTTTAGTAATAATGCATGTGATATAGTGAACCCTGCACGTGCTGTAAAGAGAAGGAAATTGGGAAAAAGCAAGTGAAACACGGGGTGTGGTACGGGCTTGTTTGGCTTTTCAATTAGACAGAATTGACCAAACACGAACTTGTATCTGAAAAAAGAGGAAAACTTTGAAGTTTAGACAAAACAAACCAAACAATCAAAATCTTGGAATTTAAAATACCAAATGCCAACCCAACGCCAAAAGCATTGGTAAAGCCTCATCACAGCAACATATTTGACTGCCTAATTCTCCGTTCTTATCAAAGAAAAATATTAATTGGTATGCTTATAAAAATCTAACATCAATTCACAAATTTTAATAATGGAAAGACGATATATTTAGTTCGTAAAAATTTATTTTAACACGTATATGATTACTGGAATCGATTTTTCATCTAATTTTTTCTTTATATATGTATATCCCCTGAATCAGATAATCTCTCGGTTAAAAAACCTTTTGAGAGAGTTAAAAAAAAAAAAATTTAATCCCATATATTATTTTTATAATCTTAATAAAGTTTAGATGGATTAATATAGTCCACTTTTGCTAATCCGACCGCTAATTGATTATAATTCTATTATTTCTTGTAATGAAGAGCATGGTCAATATATCAATGTACTCTAAACATGATGGTTTCTATTTTGGTAAATTCTTGTATCAAAATGTTGACTGTTATCATTTCAATGCTGAAGCAATGTGGGAATGCATAGATAGATAAAATTATGAAACTATGTTTTTTGAATGCATTGGTGGGGTTAAGCTATCGAACAACTCTTGGCCACACAACACCTACTAAGTCAGATTCCAACATCTCACGAGTCTACACTCGAGGAGTATGATGTTGATGTAAACGTCCTGCCAGTGCCAGTGACAGATCTAAAAATTTATTCTTTCCCAGAGTTAATATATAATTTAAAAAAAAAAGAGAGATAAAAACATAAATAAATTGAATTTTATGGATTAATTTAGAATATATATATTAAATAAATTGAATTTTATGGATTAATTTAGAATATATATATATATAATATATATATATATATATAATCAGAATGTGAAAAAGGTTTTCACTTTGGAAGTTTGACCATTAGGTTTTGTTGTAAAATGAAATTGAACTTATAATAAAACGTGGGTAATGGTTGTCTATGTTAATCTTGTTAACGTTTTGAACTAATACAACCAAAGGCCTTTTATTGCTTGTCTA